GTGGTCAACACCACAAAGAAGTTATAAGTACACACAGGAATGGGATATATGTAGGCTGTCTTGTAGCACACATCCCTTCACCTCCCCGGAACAAACTTTCCCAGTTTCAACCTGTACATAAAATGGTAGGCTTCAGAAGAAGTATAATTGAATGCAAAGGAAAAAGTTCTCTTCTGGTGAGACAGCAAAAGGATAAGACATTTCTTATAGGAAGTAAAAAACAAGACGGCAAATGCTAAACTATAAAAAATAAGCTTGTGTTATCCTAATACAAAACTATGACAGCTGATAAAAGAGAAGATGTGACTAACATTGAAAGTTGATTTAAAACCATCCCCTTTTGCCTGAGTAAAAAATTTTAGAAGCATCCTTAAGAGAGTATGGATATATGTACAGAAACGTAAAATAATTACTTAAAAATAATAGTAGTTGATAAGAAGCTCTCTGAGAACAATGGGCAGAAGACCGCCATCACCCACAGTCTGCTGCTATCACAAGTGATTGCACTACATCTCTTTCATGACAATAACATGTTAATGTTTCTTCTGATGCAGCCATTCCTGAGGTGAGCTTATATGAATGACAAAGGTATATAGTTAAAAAATAACTGCTGCTAGTAAAGCTCTGAAAAAATAAGACTCATGAAGTTGAGTGCATGCCAATAACTATTTAGAAGAATTACTATTTATTTCTCTACTGTAGGATTTTGAAAATTCTTGACCTTTAATTTTGAAAATTAAAGACCTCATGCTAATCCTTCCTGCAAACTACAGACTAGACTAAAGTCATAATATAATCCATTATTGCTATTCTAGTGTTCCTTGCACTTCTAAGCAGAGATGCTTCAAACAGAAGCATAGACTTCAGATTCAGTCTTAAGACTTGTTACAGTGGAATTAGAAACAGTCTGAATCGACAAAGCCATCTAAACACCAAGAAAGTCTTCCCCTGTAAAGACTATGTCAACAACTTAGAAATTAAAATACCATTAAAGGTGTTCTCCGAGTCTGAAAATATCTCTACTTAAATATTGAGGGAGTTCATGTTTACTATTTCTCAAGGAATTCTGTAAGTGTACTCAATTTAAAATTAAATGTATTTATCACCTGGTTTGACAGGTCTGCAGCTTGACCTTGACTTTTGACAAAAGCTATTATTTCTGCTTTACGCATCACCAGTCTAAAGAAGTTCTCAAAGTGGATCTCAGTCAAAAGTTCTTTAGAAGACACAAAACAGAAAACAAGATGATTTACTTCGCCCTTCCTAAACAGTTTCTCTGGAAAGTTGAGTAGTAAAACAATAAAAACATATTACTATGGTAATAACTACTATCATGAAGAAACACTGGACATACTAAATGAAACCTTAGTAAATAAAGTGATACCACCTACAATTACACCTTAACTCCAAAAGCACAATAATTAATAGCAACTCCAAATTGTTGCATCAAATATTTCTATAAGTACCTCCACACTACAACAAGAGTTTTCCCCTTATTTGCTACATGTTTTTTTCATGAGCTTCTCTTAGTCACTCTTGACCTTTTCCCTAAGTTATCCTATTTGGGGCAGGGAAACAATCTTCTCCCCTCAAATCCTACTCAACTCAACCCATACATTCACACACTTTTTTCCCGATCCAACTGCTGCTACCACCAGAGTTCATATCCAGCTGTCAATTCTTCCTTGCACTAAACACTTCTGAATCACAAAAGATTTCCTGCTACCAAAGCAGTATTTCCTTTTCACTAATTTTGTTTATAAAAGTATGGGTCATTTTTATCAGTTAATTATGCTATGCAGCATACTCAGGGCTCTCCACATTTAGGAGAGCAGTTCCTTGTACATTTTTACCATCTAAAATCCTAATGAGAAAAGAACAGGTGGTTTAGCTTTTTTTTCTTCATCAGCTGTGTGACAGGTAGGAACAGATGATCACTCCCCTCTTCAGCTTCTCTGCATTACCACAGCTCTCCTCTCTCTCCTCTCACCATTTCTGCTCAAAATATTATTTTCTGCAGCAGATTATAACCCTCCCTGTCCTTATGTCAGTCATGAGTTTTGCTTTCAATTTTTTCCTTTCCTACTTCATAGCCTCCCTTTAGGGGACAACACCCACTTCCAGTGTTTTCCAATAACTGCTTCACACTGACAGCTTGCAGCTTTCTCTTGCCTCCTGTCTTTTATTTGCACTGCATCTTCACATATCTTTCAAGCCTGCAAATTATCCATCTGAAACTCAACTGATGCCAATTGCAGTTTCCCCAAGCACTTAGTTTTGACTTCACTTGCATGTACACCTTGAAAAGCCACACAGAAGCCTCTGGTGACCTCAGTTACCTGGTTCAGTTGAACCTGAAGATGAACCACAAAAGCATGCATATGGATTTACTATGCTTTGCATCCAGTTGGAAGAAAGTTATCCATGAATTATAAGAGAATTTTGTTTTTCCTGGAGCAAACTATAATATGCACGTGTGCATTTATATGAGGGGGAAATGTGCTATATGTAAACCTAAACGATAAAACCAAATGAGCCACAGGACAAAGTATTAGGTTGTGCACTGTAGTTTCTATTCAAGGATATTTTGGTTTTGTAGGTTTTACCATTACTGTAAAATCATTCTTGTATTTATGCTTTCTATAACGTTCAACAGCTATGAATTTGAAATTGTAAGTTTTCTAAAAGATGTATCCAATTACAGTGCTGAATGATTTGAATAATAGACTGCTTGACATATTCCAAGATAAGTGGTTGCTACATTTCTTTGATATTAGGGTCATATACTGTACTTATCTATTTTTACTCCATGCTCTCCATTGCCTAGTAATAAATTAATTTCTCACTGTTAGTTTGGCATGTGCCCTACAGTTATATTCATCTTCTCTCGCACTGAAGGAAGAAGAAGTTTACTAAGGTATTTTTAGAATTAGTCATCACAGATTAAATCCAAAATACTGTTTTAAGAGAGACATTCCCACATAAAGCTGGTTTTATGTTTTCATTTTTAGAAAATTAGCCCATGGTACTAAACAACATAGGACAATAGCCATTTAACTACTTGCACACATGTAAGACTTTTTACAATATATGGATATCACCTGAAAGAATGATTTTTAACATGTGTTTAATTTCTGTTGGTCCCTGGTGCAGAAAGCCCAGAGAAGAACCTCATGTACATCTGCAATTATCAATGGCAATGGCTTAGATCTGAACAACAGAATACAGACCAAAATATGTAATCACCATCAAGGCTGCAAGAATTAGTTCTTACATAATTTGTGTTGTTTCCAGAGCAGCGAGAATGTTCCAGCTTCTTTGCTGGTTACCAAGAACTCAGCAGTAACAAGGAAGAGGCATTTTGCACATTCAATGTTTTCATAGGGAACAACTATTCTTTAGCCTAACCTTCTAGGTCTTTCTAACCTCTTGTTCTTTGTAGCAACCTGAAGAATAGGGAGAGGTAATTTAGCAAATGAACAGTAGCAATCATGAGGAAAACAAGAATTAATATGGAAACAGAATATGTGTTCATGTACTGTAGATGATGAAAGGACACTGGCAAGCAGGGAGATTTCTCAAGCCTCTGACATTACTGATTGCTATCTTTAACTTATCCTCAAAGGTGATAATTCTGAAGTAAAGCAAAGACACCAGAATCATTCTTAAGCTAATCCAGAGCCAGGAAAACATATGACTGCATGTGTTTTGAGTTGCCGAAGCCATAAGGGACGGCAAGGAGCCAGCCATGGGGTGGCAATCACAGAAGTAACATCACAGCTGCAGTCAAACACAGACTTACCACCTAACACCGTATGCTGCACTGCAAAATAACATGGAAGAGAATTTATGAATCTTCAGAGTGTGTGGCACATCAACCACCACGCATCATGGGAAGTGACTGCATGTTCATGGATTGTTACTGGAAATTTACATTACATCTCAGTTTTCTTAGATAAGGCTAATATCCAACAAATTATCAGAAAGCCTACCTTTTCAACACCAAATTTTGAAGCCTGCAAACATGAAACTCAATCATAGCTAACATCATCTATTCCTTGAGTCAAATCATTCATGTAACTCCTTTACATAACAAGTATTTGATGTTGCAAACTATTGCTCCCAAGATCAACACGAAGCAGTTTACCAGCAATTTTTAGAGTTGCAGTGTAGGTTCTACATACCAGCCTCATTAGAAACAAGGTCAAGCTGAAAAATATCTGTGACTCTGGTGTTTTTTTCTGGTGACCTCCATCCACTTGCATAAGGAAACATATCCTATTTCATACCACTGCAATTTCTTATTAAACTGCAAATTTAAATTGGACATACAAAAATGACTAAAAAAAGCCAACCAAAAAAGAACAAACTACTATCCTTTTCCACAAAGAATGCTCTCTCTACCTCCATGAGTTTGCTAACCTTAATTATACCTATAGTTTTGAGATTCCCTAATGGAAATTGCTACAAAGCACTAACAGAATGAATCATGACACATGCTGATACACCACTGATTGTAAATCTATACCCTTTTTATTTGCACCCAGGGGCTACGCATCATATACTCATGAAAAATTACTTCCAAGTAGCAAAATGTCATAATTGGAGGCATGTCTGGTAAACAGGCTGAGTATTACCAAGTATGCAATGTTCTTGTAGCTTATTTTTGATAGTGTAGCAATTCGATAATTTGAAAGATTTGCATAGTTTGGATAGTTAATTTGAGAATTAAAGTTTCCCTAAGGCAAAGTAAAAGCTTGAAAGAGAATGTTAAAAATCCTTGGAAGCATCCTTCTTAGACATGCAACATTCATACTTTTCTCCACATTTCAAACATAATTACAGATTGAAAAATGCTGCCAGATTTCCATGTATACCAGAATTTCATATAAAACCTTTAGAGATGAAAGAACTTAAAAAAAACACTTTAATGATGTTCTCAAAATATGTGAAAAGCTTAAATTAACACCCACCCACCCCATCTTATAAAGGTTACTTACATCAATGACAGATGAACTTGACAGACTTAATCCCTCTAAGTCTGCTGTTAAACTCGGGGATAAAACAGCTGCTGTAGGAACTGTCACAGGAGTTGTCACAGGACAGACTAGAAGGAAAAGGGCAATTGATATTTAAATTGAAAAAAAAATGTAAATACTGAGAAAGAATATTATATTTCTTCATTAAGCAAAAAAACCACTTTACATCTTGATTTAATTATTATAACTTTTTATTATATCCTTGTATATATGTTCCTTAATCGAAGATTATATTATTTTTTCAGACATATAGCCCTAATACTCAACATAAACAGTGAAAATACAACTAATATAAGTATAGACCACACATACAATTTATATTAAAAATATTTTCCCCTTCTTTCCCATTTCCCCCCTATTTCATCCTTCAGTTTGATACATACTTTTATATGTACTTTTTCATTTACAAGTTAAGTGCAAAGTACATGTTAATGCTATTCTAAGGTACTGCACCTATAGAAGTAAACTTGAAGAAGGGTACTAAAAGCATAGTCAAAGAACAGTGCCAGCTCTGCCTTACCTTTCCAAGAGTACAATTTCACACTGTTCTTCAAAAATGTGATTGGTTCATAGATTGCACAGTGTTATACAAGTAACATCCATTAGTGGATGAGAAAATAAGCCCACTTTGACAGAAGGCAAGTCTAAACACATAAAAATTCTCAAAGTAAATGTTTTACATACCAATACATTCTAAAGTTTGAAACAATTTATCAGTTACAAAAACCAAACAAAATCTCATATTGTAATAATTGTGCTTAAAAATAACTTGCAAGTCTAAGCATTTATTTTTTTTTTCTCAGGAAACTGGTACAATAAATGAATAGAATCAATGTTTCAGACACTTAAAATTCATTGAATTAATGGAATTGAATTTATGCCATGGGAAAAATGAGGCTTTAATCAAGATACTTACAGTCATCTAAATCTAAGAGAAACACGTCTTGTTTATTTGGAGTTTTTCTGTCTTGTACTGTTTTTTCTTCTTTCTGTCAAAATATATAAATATTTCATCTTTCATCATATCAGCAAAAACAAATCTTTAACACTTTTATAAAGCAAAATGTGCTTTTTTTTACTGCTTTCATAAAGCAAAATATATTCATTTTCAGGGCTTGGCACCCAGAGAATTCACCTAGCGAGAAAGATTTCTTTACACAGTTAAACAGAATCTAAATTCCACAATTGAATATCTGAAGACAGTGTATTTGTTTAGTATTAATCATTGTTGCTGCAAAGAAAACTTTAGGTGACAGATCAGATACATCTGTTGAGACCACTAACAGAGACAGCAGCATTTTTTTAAGACAAAAAAATCTGGGTACTAACATTTCTGTTTCCATATGAAGAACAGGTCAAAATCCATTCAACAAGAAACAGGTGTTATTTGCACTTATCTAGGAGCATGGAATCCTGTCCAGTTATCTACTGGGATTTTACTTAATTGCTAGACAAATAACACTAAGTTGATTTTTGTCACAAAAGAAATTCCAATTTTAAGCTTTAAGATGAGTTCTAAAAATAAGAACTGCCAAGTAGTGTAGTAAGAATTGGCGGTACTCTTTAGAGTAGAGAAGTAATAGAGTTATCTCAGTAACTTGGCAAACAGACTATTTCAACAAAATTTGTTTCAATACACCTAAATAAAGACTTCTAAACAAATCTAATAAGAGTGAGTGTTGGCCATACCTCCAGAGCATGTCAAGACAGTGGTGATTCAGGAAAGAATTTAGTGTGTCACAGCTCAGTATAGGCTGCCAAGAGGGCGGTTTAGTATAAAAGACTGATCTTTCGATGTAGCCACAACAGTTTTGTCATCATGCTGTTCCTACCCACACTTAAGCATCCTTCATTTGGGTCAGCTGAAGAATTCCTTCTGCCTTTGCTCTCTCTGACTCACCAAACAGAAGGCTTCGCCATTCTTTTAGAAAACGTGTCAACTGCCTTTAGATCTTAAGACATTGCTCACTACCCAAGGTACTGCGAGTAATTTAAATGTAGTCTTTAAGAGTCACACTTACGTGAACTTCTTAGTTTACCAGTTTCCTCCTCAACAGTATGTGACAGGCAAATGCACATATGTACAAATATTTTACCATTTCTAATAAATTAACAGGTCTAAATAAATCAGCAAAACTCCTTATGACCATATGGGTCTCCATTTCTTCAGCATTTCAGGTACTCATGATATAAACTTCTACAAGAGTTTAGAGTCCTCTCAGAAACTCAGGAGGTAGAATCACTTTCTTCAGCTATCACCATAGAATAAAATGACACCTCTTTTCTCAAGGTGCAATCCCTTTCTTCTAGTCTCTCAGCCTCATGGTCAGTTGCAAACTAACAATAATGACAAGTATATTTTTTTTTTCCAATTTTGAGGAGAAATTCCATGGTTCCTTCCAAAGAACATTAAAGGAACTAGCTAACATCACTGTTTGAAGCCATAGATGTTAATGACTACCAGGCTTGACCTCAGTCATGATGACATTGCTGATCATGTTCTTCCTATAAAGCCATGGCTATGGTGCTAATGTTATCCCATGTCTTTTGTATCTGTCCAGAATTACTGAGGGACTTTGCTGCAGAACCTACTTTCTTGAATTTCTGCTCACAACTACCAGACTTTTCTCTTAAAGTCTGTTTATTAGCAAGTCATGAAGCTTCTTTTGGCTATTCTTGTTTTAAATCTGTGAAATAAGGATAAATAGTACACTTAATAATTACTCAGGTTTATAAAATGTCAGAGAAACAATTTTATAACAATCCTTCTAATGGATTCCAACCCATTTTATAGCCCCATTTGGTGAATATTTAGCCCTGAATCTTGGGGTTACTTCTCACCTGCAGCACTTTTACTATAAACTATGTATCAACTTTTTTCCTAAAGTAGAAACTGTTCAAAAGTCAAAACAGACTAAAGTAGAACCTACTTTAGAAAAACGCAAATATATTTTAAAAAAATCCTCAATTTCTGAACTCTTTCACTCCCTGTCCCCACTTATCCATAAGATACAGTTCTACCTTCAACTATGACAAAGGTTCAAATGTTATTTTTAGCTACAGTTCTGTATTTGCCAATTATTTCAGCAGAGATGGAATTTCTTCATTCCCTTTCACTATGCAGCCAATTAAAGTCCATAAGCAGTGGCTCACCCACATGAGAGGTGCACAAGGACGAGAATTTCATATGTTTCAGTACAACTTTTTAAAACATTAGGAGTCAGAGCCAAGGAACCCTTTCGCTGTTAATCTGTTTACTGGAGACAACTAAGGCATTCTGTCACAAATAACATGAACAGTATGCTTCAGTTTGTTTTTTCTGTTATTTATTTTGCCATTCTAGAGTTGTTACTGAGTACATATCACAAAGCTTGTTATGTACTTTCGTAAGATAAAATCTGTTTTTGCACTGATACTATTTTGACTCTATTACATAATACATCTTTAAAAATGAGGGAGAAATCCTTCAAGAGAATTTATTTCTTCAAAACAAAGTAAAATGGTCCTAAGATAAGGTACAAGTGAAAAATCCTTGTATCAACGTAATGTATGGTAAGAAAAACTTCCACTGCACACTTTATGAGAAGAATTTATTTATACTATAAAAACAAGCAAACAAATAACACCACTAAATAGAAAACAAACCAAAACCAAAACCAAACCTTACTCTACCGTCTGGAAAATGCAAAATCAGAAACTAATTAAATCAAGTAAACGCTAATGCTAAAGTATGATCATGTCTTATTTTCTAATTCAGTCAAGTGTGTCAAGCTTAAGAAAGCACTCAGCTACTTATATGTGTGTGCATGCTCTATATACACATAAACACACAAATATTTTCATATTTATATGTATTTCTATATATGGGTATATACATTAATTGTGTGCAATTCTGTACAAAACACCAAAGAAATCTATTTACGTGAGTCCTGCCTAATACAAACATGATTATTTTTTAATTTGATTTCTCCAAGAAAAGAAAATTGATTGGTTATCTAGGAATAATAAATAGCCAATGACTGCAGATATTTCTATTGAATAAAAAAAGCTTTGCATTTGAAATCAGGACAATAAAAATGTCCTGACGTGTCTGACACTTCTCTGTAACATAATTTTTCATCTTTTTTTCTTAAAACTAAGTCTACAATATAACCCAAACAGTTTCCTACCAAGAAATCCTACTATGGAAAAAGCAGAATACTAAACAAAGAAGTTAAGGTATATTCCATCAAACATTTCTCCATTTGCAATTCATCTTGGTAATAGAGATAGAACCTGGTAAATGCATATAGGACTTGAAGCAGGAGATTTCTCTTGCTCAATGCATAATTCATGTGCTCCACCTGCAAAGTGTGTAAAATGAGAATTTCACACCGCAGCATGAGCCATGGAGCTGCAGAGAAAAGGCAGATGAAATCATATTCTGCTGTGTGAATTTTATTTCTTATCCTCCCAATATTTATACAAAACCATCACTGACAATCCAAATGCATTGACAGATCACCCACTGTTTCCATTGTGTTAGCACTTGAAAAGAGATCAGGCAGAAAGATAGACAATTTGTTTTTGTATATTTTTTAAATAGTGGATCAGGTTTTTAACAGCTGAGTGACTGTATTATACTTGTATTAGGAGGTCAACAGTAGCTGATTTTAAAATCCTACTGTAGAGACACCTATTTGTACATGCATCATCATCAAATCTGCATTTTAGCTCTGCAGTATTTATGCTTACAGTATAATATGTATCTGAACACCTCAAACTATCCATATTTCAAAATTATATAAAAGACTGCAGGAAAAGAGACTGACTTTTCTATTCACTGCAGCTCAATTACAGTGAACACAACGTTTTTTTCAAAACAATTCTTCAAGAGAAAAAATATTAAAACATTAATAATATATTCAGAAAAGTAGTCCAAAGTTTTTGTAGCCTATTTTAATTGTAGTAGATGCATAGATGTATGCAGAAATTAGGCTTCCATGTGAGTGTACTCAAACCCTTTTTATTAAGAAAATTCTGCTGAACATGGCAATGGTACCCAACAAAACATATGGAATGGTAAACATCACCCAAAACATCACCAATGTAACATAGTTCATAATGTGTGGCAAACTGAGAAACTATAAAAATAGAGCCTACTAACCACTCGTCTTATCAATATGTATTTCAGGAAATTTTTTTCAGTTTTACTGAAAAGGAAATCCTAATGAATCGTTTCCCCAAACAGATAGACCACATTTAAGAATACCTTGTAGCAGAATAATATAAACAATGTCTTTTCCAATTAAAATCTATCAGGATAAAACATGCATTTCTGAGAGCCTAGCAGAAACCATCTGCTTCCCAGGTGGTCTGAAAAATAAGTCAGGAAGGGAAGTAGAAAAATAAATACAAGAGGCTCCTGTAAAATGTACTTTGACACAAAGGCTCTATACACAATACTTTAGCTATAATGTTCTATAAGTTTTGTTAACAATTGTTTTTTCTTTTCAGCTTGGAAAGGGTTATCATCAGCTAGTTCCACCTACCCCTACAGGTTTCTCTCAAAACAGGTTTTTCTCAAAAAAAAAATAATCTATTAAGCTATTTAGCATAACAATCACCTTTAATAAAAAATACCTGTGATTCTTATCCCCAACCCCCCCATCCAACTATTCATCTAACAATAAACAAGTACCAGAAACACCTCAAGTATAAATGCAGGCATCAAACATGGTTTAAATAGAAACTAACTTCATGGTTCCAGAGATTATTATCCTAGACTGAAACAGTCCTCTCTATTTAAGGGCATTAAATTAACTACCCCCCTGCCTCTTCACACATGACCATTTGCTGTTTACAGCCCATCAGTCATAACTTGTTGCTCTTATAATAAATGTGCTAATTTTTTAGTGAAAAAGGATTTAAGGAACATAAACATTTAGTTTTTGCATGCTGTGCTCTACACTACTTCTTTTCCATAACCTCCTTGCTTCTTTTTTTGCTGCCCTGCATATAAACCCACTGCTGTTTGTTTTATTATGCTTTTGTGATGTTTAAAAGCTCTGCAATTTTTCAGCTCTACCCTTTGACTCTACTCTGACCAAATTGTCTGTCAACTGTTCAAAAATTTTTGTTCCCAACACATTTCTTTTTAGGTGCTTCTTAATCAAGTAAGACTTCAGAACTACTGCAAAGTTCTTTTCTCTTAAAATCCAAGGCCTTGACAACTTTCCATTGACTTCAACAATTCAATCTCAAGCTTCTTCGACGTTCCAGTTCTCATATTCAGTATATTTGACTTCACGTATTCTCGACTGCTGTTTTAAAATATATAACGCTTCTTTATGCTAGTAGTCCTCACATACCCTAAAAGAACCAGTGAAGGTTCTAGTAAAGGAAACTAGTGAAGGAAATTATGTTCATAGTGTTGATATCCTGAGAAAAACGAACAAATGCAGCAAAGAGCAGATACTACTGTTTGAATGTGGTTTTGGCAGTGGCTGTTCAGAACTAAGCACATCACAGTATCACTTTTTGGTGAAAAACTACTGTGCTGATATGAGAAGCTACAAACTGTTATAACTAATTCATGTCCCGTTTAGCATCAAAGCAGTTTATTCTAAGAGGATTTAGGTTATATATTTTATGCTACCATTTTTTGACAAGATGCAGTCTAGCTTCTCTACTAGAAGAAACTTCAGCATAGATGTGTTACCCAGTGTGGTATTTGGGCAGGAAACAATGATCAAACCATGAAAACACACCTCCATTTCTCAAATGCTACAGCCCCAGTTCATCATTTTTCTACTTGGTTGAAGAAGGGAAAAGCTAAGGTTACAACTTAGAGCTCCTAGACAGACCCATAAAGTTACAAAACAAAGACCATGTGCAACCTAAGCTCAAGATTTAGAGACACAGAGAGCCTTAGCTTCTCAACTAAAGGAAATGTACACTGAAACAGCTTTATAAAGTTACGGCCTTCTCTCTTAAATGTTCAAAACACACCTGTCCACCAGCTTCTACAACTGCATCAAATGCAACAATGTCTATTTTGACTATTCAGCAATCTAATACAGCAGTTCTGACTGAAATGTCTTGGTTTAACTTAAAATGCATCAGCATTTCACTTGATTTTCAATACCACACATCAGTACTAAAACAGAAACTTCTGAGCTACAATTCTACCCTTCAAATTTTTTACAAAAATACAGAAAGAAATGCACAAGAAATATTTCATACCAGAAAAACAGGTTTCAGAAACTCTTTTACTCTTCTACCATAAAGGGTTTAGCATAAAGTTCCTCATTAATTTATTTTTTAAATGAAAAGTAGGTAGGGAAACAGAAACCAATTCACTGCTATTAGCTTTAGCTCTATAATGCCAGCTTGATTCTAATGAACTGTTAAGCTCTTTTGCTTCACTAAAGTAAGCAATTAAAACTTAACTGACACATAAATGGCTCTGTGGTGCATTTTTGCATCCTCACATATTTCCAAGTCCAGTTAAAAAAAAGACGTATTTGAAAGTTTGCTACTTCATGCATGTTTTAAGAAAGCTAATAGAATTTGAAGTAGCAGAACTCTTTGAAAGCTACCAAACACAGACAGCAATAAAAAGTTAATTTCTCATTAAGAATATTAATTCTACTAACCTATGTATACACCTCCATTATAGATTCACTAACTGCACTATTCTCAATTTTCACAGGAAATTTTAAAACAAAGCTAGTGTTTCTACTAGAATGTCCTCAAACTCTTAACAGACAATGTACTGACACTTGTTTCTCGGTTTTCTTTTCTATCAGATCCAGGTCCAGCAGTAATTATACTGTAAGATTCCATTTTAATAAAACAGTCATCAACACCTATGTACTAAGCTTTCACCAGCTTAATAGTAACCTAAAAATAGATTAAAAATAATTAAATTCTATTACATAAGAATAATAGACTATCAGAAAAAATATTACATTCTGTCTATAAAAATAATTAGATTCTATTTTCTTCTTCATCTATCTGGAGTAAAAATATAATGGAATTTAAACAGAAATATGTTTTTTATTATAAAAATACTCTTACTGGATTTAACTATAAAACTACCTTGGGATTGGTCTTTTTATGAAAAGTCGAAAATTTTTTTTCATGATTTCTGGGGGGTTTTGATATGCATAAAATGACTACCTATCTCCATTCCCAGAGAAAGAAACATGTATAGACAGTTAATGTTTTAATATTTCATAGAGGTTTTTAAAAAATATATTTTACCTTCCTAACCTTACTAGAGGTAGCACTTCTAGGTTTTCCAGACTCAGAGTCACTTTTAGAGTCTGATTCTGATTTGGAGCCTGAAGAACTTTCTTCTGATGAAGAGGACTCTGTATCAGAGGAACTGGATGTGCTTCTCTTCTTGGAGATTCCCTCTGCCTTCTTTTTAATATCTTCTGAATCACTATATATTTAAAAAAATGTTAAGAGACATGTAAAATCACAAAAGAAATCTTTTTAGGCAATATCCTACATCAACATTTCAAAGTTTTATTAAATGAGTTTTAAGTCAGTATTTCTTCATGATAAAAAACTCAGCTGTGAATGAAGCAGTCACTTTTTTAAGGGTACTCAAAATTGTTCTATCACGCTACATAACATCACATATAATCTGAACCAGTAAAACAGCCAAACAAAATGTGAACACATTAAATATTAACAATTTGCATGCATCCAGCTTGCAACACTGCAGAAAGAAGTGCAGAAATATGTATAAAAAGACGCTTTCATACTATTCCACCTATGATTAACAGAATGATGTGTTAAGTTTTTGTAAATTAATATTGTTTAAAAGAAAATCAATACATTTAGTTCATTCCTTTGTTAATTCTTCTAAATCAAACCATACCATATACAAATAACACCTACAGTGTCTACAAATATTTCAACTCACTAAAGAGTTTATACCAAGAGCTGTTATCTTCTGATACCCTTGGTCACATTGAATACCTTACAGATAAAGGACTTTGAAGACTATTCTTCACACAGTAAAGTTCCATTCACCCTGGCCATGTTGAGTTATGTTGCTCTGTGCTAACAGCTACTGAATATTATCTGGCTTTTTCACGTCTAATCATACTCTGACTACCAACTGGTAGATTACCCTTTTGTCTCAGGGGGAGTTACTACCTAGAAATACCACAGAAAATTAAAATTGTTTTCTAATAGTTATCATGGAGCAGAAAAACTAATATTGCATACAAAGAAACCTCCTCTGTTCTTGGATTTGCAAGCAAACATTTTATACTTTCAAATCAGGTGTTTCATACACTACCTGTTTAAGCTTCCTTCCCAAGACAATAAATTGGTTACTGAAGTGCTTGAAGGGTAACAAGGTCAACAGTAATTAAACAAATCCAGACCACTCAATTATTAAGAATCCCTCTGGACTCAAATTAAATTGTTATACATTTTTGCTTAGCTTTAGGAGCAGTACAAAATAATGTACTATGCTGCATTACTGTTTGAGATTGCAATGTTTTTATAAGAAAAAAATGCAAAGAAGGAGAACTGAAAAATGTAACACAACAGAAAGCAAAATAAAAAGTCTTCCTCCTCCCAAGAACTTCCCAGGACTGAATTGCCTAAATCAAATTTAATCAAAATTACTGAAAATCAAGATAAACATTTAGACCATGCTAATAGTGCCTACACATTTAACTGAAGTTGAAATCAACTCTCGATATTTTAGTCAAAAGCATTCTTTTCTGAAAGCAACAAATTTTAAGCTTGCAAAGCTAAAAATGGAACAATGGTACACTTCACAAAAACAGTCTAATGGAGCAAATCTGATTGTTAAAATCACAGTAAAAAACTGGTACTATCAAAAAATTATGTTTCTATATGACAACATTTAAAAACTTGTTTGAGGTCAATGAACTAAACAAAAACTCACTAGCATATACTGTTCAAAGTTTCTTCATGACTGGTACTGACAAAATTATCTACATTTCTTTCACTGCCATAGAACAGTTGTAGTTGCATCAACAAATAAGTTGTTCTGAACTCATTAAATAAATGAAGTTATTTTTCAACAATTTATCTTTAGCTTAGCTTTAAAACTAGATTTGAAGATTAAAAATGTTACTTTACTGCACATCAACCAGTTTTGATGGGTAATCATTGTTTATCTTACTGTTTAAAATTTCAGATGTTATTCTAATGAAAAGAATTTACTGGTAACTAGCTTTTTAACTTTGCGATGATGAAAAGCCTGTATTAATTTAACCTACAGATTTCATTTGTTCTGAACAGGAAAAACAATATAAATCACTTTTAAAATCATTAAATCCTGACTTAAATTAATAAAGTCATAATTAGGGCATTATGCTGTGTTTGTTATGGAAGTGGCAAGGCGAGCTGCTTTAATTACTGTCTGTAATAAAAGGAGCAGAGTGTGTACTGCGCCCCAATCAGTGCTGTCAGCCACGACTGAGCTGAGCTGCAAACTCATCAAGTGAGCTGGCAGCAGACTACAGAGTAAAGGGCGATCGTGTCTGCAGAGGCCACTTGCTGACAGCAGTGGAAGAAACAGATTCATACAATCCAAGGTATTAGCCCCAATTACTCAAAATTTTAATGATACTTTAATACATGATAATGCTGTTGATAATAGGCAATCTTAAAAAGCACTAACACTTAAATATCTTATGACCGTTTCCCTTCACAGCCCTTGCCTCTAATATTTGGATCATAATCTTTTTAATATAACATTATTTAGAAAAATCAATTGTCTTAGTTATATAATGGCAAAGTGTTGAAGGACTTAATTTTAGCTCTCAGCAAAACTGCTGCGAAAGGTAATTAAGTGTTTCACGCAACTGTTTGATCACTGATTCAGCCTCCCAAGGTTACCTCAATTTTCAAAAAGCCACCCAAGATTCTACTGAAGTCAGAAATTAATTCCAAACATAAGAGTAGTCTGATTAACAAAAATATGAACCCAGTTCATACACTGACTATTACTCACATACACTGACATCACTCCTTGGCCTAAACACCCCCAAAAAAACATAATTAAAGGCTTGGCAGACTGCTTACATGAAGAGTGCTTTAACAGCTAGTATCACAAAAATAAAACCCATACAAATGTATACCTACCTTTCATCGGCAGCTCTAGATGTTTTCTTTGCTGTACTTTCTTTGCTGTCTGAATCACTGTCAGTTGATTCTTCACTGGGAGAGGAACTCCCACTAGTCTCATCAGTACTGTCTTCCTCTTTATCTTCCTTCTCGCTTTCACTGTCAGACTCACTCCCTGAAATACAAACAACCCTTAAAATTTCAGTCTCAATATCTTAAATAAATAGTATTTTAGGTATCCAAGTTTGTTTTAAATTAAACAATGGTTTAGTATTTTAAAATCCAATTGTAAGCTTTATCATTATTTACCCTGTGTCAAAAACAGGCAAGAAAATCACTTTCCCCTTACATTCGCAAAATTTTGTTAAAAATCTGCCCTCTTCAGCCTACAGTATTATATACTTTATCAAATTAAAAAGTCTAATAATAAATTAATTGCACGTGGATTCTTCAAAGTTACATAACCCCATTAGGAGCTGGAGGTGACCTCAAATTTTCTAATCTATACATTCACTTAGCTGTAAAATCTTTTCAAACAACTGGTTAATTAGATAATCTGTTCTTGAATACCCATAGTGACTATGATTGAATCACTGTTTTAAACAAACTATTCATCCTCTAATTAATCATACAGTTACCAAATATTCAAATATCTGAAGTGAATATATACTTTTATTGCTTCAGAAATCATTAATTTCAGTGATATAGTTCTTAAACGCTTCTACATATTTCCTTAAGAACTGGAAGGAAGCAGCTCCATATTCAGATTTTAAGGTGCTCCTCTTCCATTCAACTAGATGCCGATAATTCTTTTATGTCTCTAATGTTAAACATTTTCTATGTCTAAGGTCTGGACCTGGGAGAATTACAATCTTCACTAAATCTGAAGTATATTAACATCTTCTGAAATATCTGCCTTGCGGAACTGCCAATCTAGCAATAAGTGGGCTAAAAGTTAAGGGTTAAAAGAACCTTTGCTAACTGAAATTCATAGGCAACTGTTATACTCTTCATCATCATCCCCATTACAATAAACAGAAAATGTTATGTAGAATTTGAGAGAAATACTGAAACAGTTTGCTGAATAAATCCCACAAAAAGACTATACAATTAAAGAAGTCTGGTCATTTAGCAACACAGCAGCACATGCTATCAAAACAGGACTTCACCACCAACAGATTCCCAAAAACATTAAAGACAAGTACATCTGCAAAGAGCTAGGTGCCTTCAGTTTTAACTGGAGTTACAGACTCTTACTACTTACACTTGACTCAAAGTAGGATGAAAATAGCATGCTAGCTTTTTTAACTAGGAAACAAAGCAAAGGCCAACTCATGCAGTGAATGTAAAATTTTTCCCCTCATTTCCTGACTTTACACATAGCTCTGGCTTTTTTTCGCATTTTTTCCATTTTTTTTTAATGTAGCAGCCAGTTCTGAAGATACAGTTCTCCAGGCAGTGGAGATCCAAACACTTACCTGATGAACTCGTACTGGTAGACTCATCTTCTTCCTCTTCTGATTCAGAGTAGAACTTTTCAGTAGGTTTCTCCTTCTTTGGCTTACCTAGAATTCCAGTCCATTCCTTTGCCTGTAAATAAATTTCAATTTACATTTCCTTTTGCAACCAGTAATACAAATATATACACATATCACAGCATAACACTCACAGTAGTAGTATTGAGCAGTTTCTAAATAAATCATCTAAGCAAGTGAAGAGAAATTATTAAACTTCTCTTATTTTCCACAATTAGGAGAACTAGAAGTTTTGTACATACCTACAAAAGGTGAGATATGTCTATTAGAGAGTCTAGAAAAAGATTTACTAAGGCAGATTAAAAGCATCAGTAACAATAAATTAATTTCTATGTCAAAAGAACATGAAGTCTGAGACTTTTATCTCTAGATCCAGTTGACGATGACTAGAATTACGGGTAAATAGGGCTAGTCACCATCTTTATCATCCCAAGTTTTAAGTGGAAAACAGAACGGGGACTCCGTAGGTAGCCATAGAGCAATTATATTTCACTTCCACTGCAATTCCCCAAATACAAGTAATTCTTACAACTAAGAGAATGCCAAAGCGTGGCAATACTTTGCCCAGACTTTTTTTCTTTCCATATACCTCTATACTACTAGAGAAACAAAGGAATAACTCAGGACAGGAAAAAAACCAAAATGGTCGACAACTATATTAACAGAGTGACACAGGTCTGCCTCAGTGACTGCTCTGATCTGGAATAAGACTAACTTCTGAATAGCTCTAACTATTACCTGCAAGGGTCTACAGCTCTAGAGACACACTGGTTTCCTGTTGAACAACAAAATCAGCTGACACTTAAAAAGCCAATATTCTTTTGGATATAAATGAAAATTTAATTATGCATTGCAGCTTAACTCAGTTTCCCTCACACACATTGTATAGGCAGATGCAGTATTAGAACCACAACAAAGTTAATGACAATGAAATACCCTCCAAAGAAAATACTTATAAAAAAAAATCCCATGGCTGAAGGACTTTCCTGTTTGTTTTGAGGTTTAAATAGCTGGAGGTAGATGTTTTCTACTATGTTGTAGATGGATTACTCCATTTGATCAATTTCCTGCAATGCTTTTTAGTTTTATGGACAAAGGCACCTTCAGACATTCTTTCATGCCAACCCTACAATTTATAATCCTCTGTTTGAGCTGATTACCTTCAGATTCTTCCCATAAAAACTTTCAGAAGTTTGTACACAAATACGTCTTTTCTGAAATCTATATAAGAAGGTAGACATGTAGTATCACAGTACTAAGGAGAAACGGTTGTTCTACCACACTGCTGTCCATTGGCTTTTGCAAGTCACACTTATCTTTTAGAATTTTATCTACCCATTCTATGCCTAACATCATCTATGCAAATTAATCATCCACAATATACTACAGAATTTGGCTCATTACAAGGACTGTGTGCTTTTCTGCGTATCCAGGAGCACCATCAGCACAGCATATACCAGTACATTTACATTTTTGTTACTGTTCAACAACCTTCACCGGCATTTTACTAGGACTCTGATAACTGACATATAAATCACAGCTCTGGTAAACATAACTTTGCCTCAGAGTTTACAACACAGTCACAAAGAACTGTAGAGGACCAGCCCTATATGTCAACACATGACTAGTGCACTAATAGACAGCATTTTCCTATTATAAACTTTCTTAATTCTCTCCAGGTTATCCTAAATGTAAACCTTGGTCTCATCCAAACTTTACACTTCAAAACATATATAATGTAACCCCTTGCTACTGCCTTTTGTTTGTATTACCTTTTTTTTTGTTTAGCCTTGGATCTGTACACAAATTAACTTCCACTTATCTCCTAGTTTGGTAGTCCACCTACACTCGATTAACATACTGCAGCTGAGTATATAGAATATAAAAAATACAAAATCAGAAGTGAGATGGAGGTGAAAAAAGCCCTTTTAATCCACAAATGAAGCAGAAGTGGCCTGCAGTTGATCCACTTCTCTCACTGAAAAGAGCAAGCACTATGCAAGCTTCCAAATGTTCCATTTCTAAGATACAAAAAACCAGCACAGATGTTCCCATGAATCAATGGTTTTCAGTACAGTACACAAATAGTATTTAAATACTTGTATTTTGGGCTAATACTCTATATTGATAAGTGCCTTCAGCAAAGTTACTTTTAATGATGCTGACATACCGACTCGACCACGTCGACATTTCGGACAGAAGTGTCAGGCGCCACCTCTGGCCAGTCAGACAGTTCCAGGTAGCCAATGGCTTGGCTGTTCAGTGTGTGAGACAAGGTGCCAAGCTGGAAATGATCCCGATCTATTAAAAAAATGAGGGGGGAGGGGAGGGGAGAAATACACAAACACTGTGAGCTATACCACAAAGAGCAATCTTAATCAGGGCTAAAGGTAATTGCCATTGTATTACCTCAAATGTCATGGAATAAATATAAACTAGGAAGCTCTTCATAGGTCAAAAAACTGATTTCAGTCCATAGATTACAATAATCTCCCCCATAATGGTCAATAAAAAAGCTAATCAGTCAGTGTGTTTAGAGGTGTTGCTCTGAAATGTAGCTTCTCTAAAAATTACTTTACTGTGAATATTAAGAATGACAGCACAGTTAAACAATCCATATACATGTCTTGGCACAAACACATCCAGAATTTTAATAGTTTTTCTTCAAAATGGAGCTCCTTTTAGAGCTTCAAAACTACACCTAAGTACGCATAAAAACAAAAATTGTAAATTGTCACAGTAACAGACTATTTTTAGTTCAGATAACCTGATAACCTTTTAATTTGAGAAGACAGACAATAGATCTTACTTGTAAAAAGACAGGAAAAATGCACAGGAAAAATTACGATTTTGGAGAAAAATAATAAAAACCTAATCTACTGAGATTCAGTTTATTTCAGATTCATAAAACATTTGCAACACTCACATTAACAACCTTCTAATGAAGTCCAGATAAAATACTAGAGTTGTTCTCCTAAACTGAAGAATAGTGTTCCTCAAAAGACACACCTTCTGTTATTTAAATCAAATTTAAAATCCACATGAATAAAAATTCATCAGTTTGTCAGGGTTTATCATCAAAAAAAATGCACTGTGTTTGCATCATGCAAATCCTGCTTGCTGAAAAGCAAGTAAGTAGACTGAGTATCCTTGCATATTAATCTTTTCTATTTGCTAAGTGACACAATTTGTGAGAGTATTTGACACAGAATAAGCTGCTACATTCCTTTACACAGTGAACATTTACCAAATGGTTTTGGCAGTTATACCTTTAAAAGGAGATTCAAGCAATGGGGCAGGTTTCTGCGCCAGAAATATTTTTTTGGCGTATTTGCTTAAAGCTCCACTCTTCTCATTCGGAACAATAAGCTGCCTAATAAATCTTGTACGGTCTCTGATGTCGTAGCTTTGATCATACTTGCCGAGATTTAATACATACTGGGTAAGCAATTTTGTCTGTGGAAAAAAACAGGACAAGAACAGAATCCAAGTTATTTATGATTATTGATAACTCTGGATAAACATATTTAAAGAGGTAATAAAAATGAATGGTTATGTCAAACAAATGTTGCTCCATAGGGAATATGCATTTCTAAAGCTGCAAATGGAATTCTGCAGCCAAAGCACATGTCCTCTTCTGTATTGGGGAGGTGAATGCTGAGTACTGAGAAGCAGCCATGTGCTAGATTATTAAACTGCTGAAGTGGAAAGAAAGGCATCATTAAAAAAATAATCATATATGGCAAACCCGCTGAAGGGTCTACGTGAGGATAATGAATGTGGAAATACAACTAAAAACATGGCACTCAAAACTTAATCGGAAAAATATGCAGGACATCAAAACATCAGAGGGTATTAGGGGGCTGGCAAACTGCTTCTGCTGAGGTGTGTTTTATGAAGAGATACTGTCCCTGGCATAAGCAGTGTCTGCACTCTGACTGCACTCAGTTACTTTATCCTGAATTATGACCCATTAAAGCAGACACATGAATCACTGAACTGGATTACTGCAAATTATTTGCAGTGCATTTAGCTGTTACTTTTTCATAAAAGCAAGCTGCTGATGCCCTCTAAAAACCAGGATGAAAGACTTCTTCCATTTTTTTTCTTGAAGCTTAAAGCCTCCAGTAATATCGGTCATTTATTTATTTATGAAAGAGAGCAACTTATACTATCACAGGTTTTTACAGCATAATAGGGCTTCCTAATTTCATGTCTCAGAATATTAACATGTTTTAAGTAATTCTAATAATTCAGTTAATTTTTAAGATAATAAAATAATATAAAAATGGAGGGAAACTTTCCCAGTATCTTAGAAATAATGAAGTGTAACCAGAACAATAGTGCTGAATTGACTTGCATCCATTCAATACATTTGAAAAAAGTAGGCCACTTCCTTTATATAAAAGCAAACAGGAAAAAGAACAGAAACAATGTACCATCCTAAGGAAGTAAATTTTGGTATTTCAACTCAGAATGGATGCATAACACAGGGTTAAAAATGTATCATCATGAAGGATTTATTTTCTTTATAGAAAAGAAAACAAGTTTCCATATATATGTTGTTTATCATAAAATTGCTACAACAATAATACAGTTTCAATCACATGAGAAGAAAAAATACATATAAAAAAATTTTTTGTTGTAGGCCATTTGCTAAAAAAAGTTCCATTTAATAACTTCCAACTCGAGTATGCAAGTTACAGGGTTTTTTTCTAGAGATGTAAAAATACTTTTTCAGAATAATGATTAACTCCTGTAGGTGAAATACACAGTAAACAAAAATTGGTTTTAATTTTAACCACATACAAAGCAATATATGCAAGCATTTCACAAAATAATGAATGGCAACAAAGATTTGAAGCTAGTCATTTTACATTAGAGTAATAGTAAAAGCATAGTCAAAAAAACTTTTCAGTGAAATATTTTTTGTTTTTCTCTCTGACATTCAAGAATGATTCTGTGAGAACATGTTTTTCCCCCCCAAGGTACTGTTTTAGCTCTGGGAAAGGTAAAACTTTCCCACATGTACTTCACAGCTTATTTCTGTATGAGGGTATAAAATTTTAAACAACTGCATCAAACAGAGTATACGTAATCTGCACTCATGCAGGACTTATGCTGTTCAATCGAAATGGAATTGGAAGGGAGGGTTCCCAGGTAGCATGAATTAAACTAAGTGAGGGATATCTCCTGCAGTTTTTGCCATCACTTCTCTGTAAAACAAGACAAGACTCCTTGATGTGGCAGAAAGGTCAGCAGAACGGATCATAAAACAGTGGTCTTAGCCTGTGAATTGCTATAGGGATGGGAAAAGTTTAGGGCCTTGTTTTCATGGTGGGCATTTTTTCAGTGAGTGTTGATGGAATTAGAAAAAGACAAATTAGATAGATAAAGAGTTGATCCTGAAAGACTGCATTTCCTTTAATGGAATAATTTTCTCTGTGATCCTTTGCCTTTCCAGTCCCCTAAGACACCTTTCCTGTACTGTCCAATACAGATAAATACACAATAAATTTACATGGAAGAATGTTCTGTATCTTCAGGAAGTCTCCTTGCAAGCATCACATGTAGTATAGTTTTCATGAAAACAGCAAGGAAACACGAAAATTTTTTAAATTTTTCTTACAGCAATGTAACCAAACAAGTAGAAGACCTTTTCTACATGCAAGTAGCTAATAAAAAAAATTTTAAATTAAAAACGAAAAATAAACTAAGGAATATACATCAGTCTCTGCAACAAAGGAATTTCCATAATAAGTTGAAAATCATTTGAGCAAGCACGCTAATTTGGTGAAATATGACAGAATCTGCACACCATGACTCCTTCTTAGAATAGTGACAAAATATTCTGATCCATGAGCTAATAAATTTATTATCATATGCCAATATTGGCTGTTATCTGAACATATATAATATTATATAGGTTTTTTTTTTTTTAATCCCTACACTGGTAGAACCCATTTTTTGTACATTTTGGTTTGGCTAGTGTGAAAAGCAGTCATTCAAGTCATCCTTCAGCAACATTTCTAGAATTTTCTAGTGACAACAGTTCTATTTAAGAATTTATTGCCTATCCTATATTAGCAGCAATTAACCTTTTGGTAGATTCTCACTTGAAAATTTTGTAATAGAAATATTACCAACAGATGAGGCTTCGCAAAGTGAGAAAACAGTTATCTAGCCACTCTGACATCATTAGCTTGCAGTAACTTGATTCTTCAGACACAAAAGATAAGGGTATTGTGCTTAACTACGACTGACATATCTATTTACACCCTAGAACTACTTGGGACTTTCTCTGGTGGGAGTCCTACTGTATTAGGCAACAGAATCCCATCAAAACCTCTTTATTCTTCCTGCTATAGGCAAGAAACATCCAAGGCAACTAGATGGGTTACACTTTCTCTTATATGAGCTCCCTTTAGACAGCTATCTAGCACACCCATAAGGATTTTATGACCCTAAATGTTGAAAAGACGAGGTATGTTTACCAGACACCCAGAGGAAAGCCTGCTTTTATTACATATTTATACAGATAGGATTGAATCTGAAACTTCCTTAAATTATAAACAGCCTTTGAAAGTTCATGGGGTGATCACAGGATTTAAAGTATACTGGAAATGAATCCTGAATATTAAAAAGCATTCCTGTAAATGTGCTGCACTAGGTGTTTGAACATATGACTAAGAAAACCACAAGCAAATAAAATAATAGATTTGGAGAAAGGGAATAAAATAACCAAGTTTTATTTCCTCCAGAACTTCATGCTTTTCTCCAAACAAGGTTTCACAAATGAGTTCAACCTGCCTTTCCCTCACCTGGGGAAAGAGCTCTTTTCATCTGTTTGGTTGGTGTTGTCTCTTTGCTATTCTACCACTACTTTTCAATAAAGTGACATTGTAGCTTTGAGATTTTCACAACTCCATTAACTTTGGATGAAACTGATAAAGTATTCATAGAAGTACAATATGGTAGGATATAATACAAAGGCAGAAAACACAGGTTGAGCAGAGACGGGCAGATCAGTAACTGAGCAATCATGTGTACAAGATTTGACGTCAAGTTCTAAAAACTGGAGTGAAAAAAGGTTGGACTTTTTTTATAAACTTTACTTTTTAGAAGTAATTCCAGAAAGTAACTTTGTAATACTGAGTGAGTAGAAAAGCATTACTCCTGGGAATAAGGATGTAGATTTATGAAGAGTGTTGTCAGCTTCTAAAGGGAAACTCACGGTATTTAAAAGGAGCTTTGAATCAAGACAAGTCACCAATCTACACTGTTAGAATTTTTATACAAATACCTTGACCACATGAGATATTATTTTTCCACAACCTAAAACTTAAAGAGGAAAACACTTTTTGATGAAAATCATTATTCAGTAGGCATCTCGGGAGACAGTTTCTTCTGTTTTATCATCATTACTATATTTGAATAAAGGGTTATGCAACACGTCAGTCAGTCAGTCATGGCTGGGCTTCGTGAATGAAGATTTGGGAAGGGCTCTACCCACGTTTGTTGCAAGTGCATTGGTGGCTAAAAAGGCCAATACGAGACAGACAAGTCCGGTTGCAAAAGGCACAGCAGAAAGACTCCTTAGGTGGTATATTCAGCAAGACACGATTCTTTCTGCGTTGCCTTTTCTCCTCAAGGGTGATCCTGTGTGCTTTCTCAAAGGCATCAGCAGTGTTATAGATGGTGTGTCTCCAGACCTCCCGATTGGAGGCCAGAGTAGACCAGTTATGATGATCAATA